GGATGATGCTCCAACCAACTGAGCCACATCAACCAGGGTGGATTCATAGGAGATTTTAACTCCTATGAATCTTCTAGGCAGAGGGATTAACAAGCTATGAGTTGGTTGAGAGGAGGCCCGTGAACAGGTGATGAGACTCTGATCCCTTCTCCCCAGCTACCACATCGCATTTGGGCCTGTGGTGGATGGTGATGTTGTCCCTGATGACCCTGAGATCCTCATGCAGCAAGGAGAATTCCTAAATTATGACATGCTCATTGGCGTCAACCAAGGGGAAGGCCTCAAGTTTGTGGAGGACTCAGCAGAGAGTGAGGATGGCGTGTCCGCCAGCGCCTTTGACTTCACAGTCTCCAACTTTGTGGACAACCTATATGGCTACCCAGAGGGCAAGGATGTGCTGCGGGAGACCATCAAATTTATGTACACAGACTGGGCCGACCGGGACAATGGTGAGATGCGGCGCAAGACCCTGTTGGCGCTCTTTACTGACCACCAGTGGGTGGCACCAGCTGTGGCCACCGCCAAGCTGCATGCCGACTACCAGTCCCCTGTCTACTTTTACACCTTCTACCACCACTGCCAGGCTGAAGGCCGGCCTGAGTGGGCAGATGCAGCGCACGGGGATGAGCTGCCCTACGTCTTTGGTGTGCCCATGGTGGGTGCCACAGACCTCTTCCCCTGCAATTTCTCTAAGAATGATGTCATGCTCAGCGCCGTGGTCATGACCTACTGGACCAACTTCGCCAAGACTGGGTGAGGGCCAGAGGGCCTGGGTGGGGTACCATGCAGGCTGAGGCACACATACCCTCTACTCTCCACTCCTTCTCTTTCTCACTTCTTCACAAGGCCACCATCCCTACATTACGGCACCTTGCCCTCTTGACTCAGACATCTGCTGGATACTTCCTCTGTGCCAGGCACTGAGTTGCGTGTTGGAGATTCAGCAGAGTTAAACAGAGAGGTCCCCGTCCCTTCTGGGGGTGGGCTCACTTGGTGGCTTTAGCTCCATAGCTGTCTCTTCTTCCTTCCCTTGCCTAGCTACCCTCTCTCTTCTCCCAGGGCGCCGCCCTCTGACAGCTCCCATCTGTGTCTGAGCATATGTAGGGTCTGGGGCTGCCTGTCTATGGCTGTCTCTACATCTTGCACTCTTGAAAGCCATTGATATCTCTCCCTTTCCCTTCAATCTGCTTTTTGTTTGCTGATTTCGCTGTGGTTGTCTTTCATATGTCTTTATCTTTCTGCCTCTGTATGTCTTTCTCCCTCGGTCTCAGCCTCTGCCTATGTCTGTCCTTCTGTCCTCATCTCTGGCAGCCTGTCTCCATCACTCCTTGTTTTTCTTTACCAATTTCTGGGAATTTCTTTTATCTCTTCTATCCATCTCTGTCCCTCTGCCTCTTGCTTTTTCTCTGACTTCCTTCCGTTTCCCTGGCCCGGGCCATCTCTGTCTCCTTCCGCACTCCTCCGCCGCCCTCCCACACCTGTTGGAGCTTCACCCTCACTCCTACTTTCCCTGCCCTCCTGTGCCCACAGCGACCCCAACCAGCCAGTGCCGCAGGACACCAAGTTCATCCACACCAAGCCCAACCGCTTCGAGGAGGTGGTATGGAGCAAGTTCAACAGCAAGGAGAAGCAGTACCTGCACATTGGCTTGAAGCCGCGCGTGCGTGACAACTACCGTGCCAACAAGGTGGCCTTCTGGCTGGAGCTTGTGCCCCACCTGCACAACCTGCACACGGAGATCTTTACCACCACCACGCGCCTGCCTCCCTACGCCACACGCTGGCCACCTCGCCCGCCCCCCGGCGCGCCGGGCACACGCAGGCCCCCACCGCCTGCCACTCTGCCACCCGAGCCTGAGCCTGAGCCAGGCCCCAGGGCCTATGACCGCTTCCCCGGGGATTCCCGGGACTACTCCACAGAGCTGAGCGTCACTGTGGCTGTGGGCGCCTCCCTCCTCTTCCTCAACATCCTCGCCTTTGCAGCCCTCTACTACAAGCGGGACCGGCGGCAGGAGCTGCGGTGCAGGAGGCTCAGTCCCCCAGGAGGATCAGGCTCTGGTGTGCCTGGTGGGGGCCCCCTGCTCCCTACCACTGGCCGAGAGCTACCACCAGAAGAAGAGCTGGTGTCGCTGCAGCTGAAACGGGGTGGTGGTGTTGGGGCGGACCCTGCTGAGGCCCTGCGCCCCGCCTGCCCACCCGACTACACCCTGGCCCTGCGCCGGGCACCGGACGATGTGCCTCTCTTGGCCCCTGGGGCCCTGACCCTGCTGCCCAGTGGCCTGGGACCACCACCTCCCCCTCCGCCACCCTCCCTCCATCCCTTTGGGCCCTTCCCCCCACCTCCCCCCACCGCTACCAGCCACAACAACACTCTACCCCACCCCCACTCCACCACCCGGGTATAGGGGATGGCTGGGGGGGGGCCTCTTCCCCAGCCCTCCCACCGGCAGGAGTGCCACTCGGAAGCCAGGGAGGAGGACTTGGCAACAGGCTTTTCTCACCACGCGTGGAGGAACTTTAGGCGGACTTGGGTCCCCCTCACTGGGATGTGTGTTTTCCCATGCATAGAGGCCCATTTTCTTCTCTGGACCTGGGCCTTTGAACAACTGGGGGGTGTTTTGTCCCCTCCATTGGGACACCAGTCTTCAGTGTGTGGAAGTGTGGAAGGATTTTCCCACACGGAGGTGTACTTTCTACGAGGGGGTGCGTTTTCCCATGTGCAGGGTGAGGGTTTTTTTTTTTTTTTTTTGCAGCCCTGGACACATGTTGGCCCCCTCGAAGAATTTCTGTGGGGATTTGTACCCCAGAATCACATTCCCCCATGCCTTCTCCCGCCTCCTCTCTCTCCCCTGCCCACCCCTCGGAGGCCCTGGAAGTGGTGTGTTCATGTACAGTGACCCTTGGCCACCAGGTAACACAGGGTGGTTCTTGGGAAGTAGTGAGAAACCACAGCACCCCCTCCCTGCCGCCCCACCTCCACCATGCCTCCCCCCACCTGGCCCCGGCCCCAGCCCCCCCCTCCCCTGCCCTGGAGAAGCATGTATTTCCCCCTTGGCACAAGGCAGGTGGAGCAGTCTCCCAGGTAGGCCTTGCCTTCCATAGATGACAGACAGAGAATCCCTGCCAGGGGGACAGGAGATCGTGCATCCCTGTACCACCTGGGAACTTGTTTTCCCAGAAGTCTAGGACACACTTCTCTGTGCAAACGTGTTCTTGCATGTGGATGTATGTTTTCCCATGCAGATGGTCCCTTTCTCTCCAGTACTTCCTCGCATTCCCCCAGACCTCAGGCCCAGCACCTAACTCCTCACACAGCAGGTGGGAAGAGTCTTCAAGCTCACAGAAGCTGAGGGGGACATACAAACCCTGAGGGCAGAGCTCTATTCCTCCCTTCCCCAAATATGCCAAGTTCAGGATCAGGGGTGTGGGACCTGCCACCCATAGAGGCCATGCATGTTTGACCAAAGTCCTCATTGGGGTCTAAGGACAGCCTTTCCCTCAGTCCTCAGACCATTACTCATCTGTGCCAAACTGGGTGGGTGGGTTTGCCAAGGATTCCCCAGGCCTGGGCCACCGCAGGTAAACATGGGAGCAGGTGGGATACAGGAGAGGGGGAGGTGACAGCTATAGGGGTCCTACCTATGTCTCTTATTTCCACCATGTCTCATCCCTTTGTGCCTCAGTTTCCCTTTTCCACATGTCTCTCCCTCTTTGAAGCCATCTCTGTGTCTCAGTGTCAAACCAGCTTCTCCCCTTGGCGGCCCATTCCCCTTCTTTGACCTGCCCCTTCTTCCCTCAGCTGCCAAGGCTGAGGAAAAGGAGGGGTGGAGGGTGGAGGGGAGGAGAACAAGGGAAAAAGTCTTCATGGTTGGAAAGAGAATGAGGTCAGCTGTGCTGAGAAGCAGATGGAGGGGGCAATGGGCGGCAGGATGTGGGCAGACACCAGCAGGAAAAAATTGACAGGACGTGTAAGGTGACTGCCCAGAGGGGACCTGAGCCTGGAGGAAACAACCTCATCAGGGACAACAGTGGAGAAGGGGAGAATCCTTGTCTGCTAGCATTTTGTGGGTTGTTAGTGCCAAACTGGAGTAGGGGGTGGGGTGCTGTCTTCCACTGACACCCAGATCCAAAATCCCTGGTCTTGGCTCCCTAGAACTTTTCCTCCTGACCATCCCTTCTCCCACCTTCAACCATAGAAACTTCATTCTCCTCCCGCCTTTCCCCTGCCTGGTCTAGTTCCTCTCCAAACAGACATGCCCTCTAAATGCTAGGGCCCTGGGCCCTGAACCCTATAGACAGATGTCCCAGGAGCTGGGACATGGGAGAGGGGCTGGGGGACCCCATGATTCAGCCACGGACTCCAATACCCAGCCCTCTCCCCAGAACAGTTCCTTGACAGTCCCATGTCCCCACCCTTTGCGGCTCTGTACACATTTTTAAACCTGGCAAAAGATGAAGAGAATATTGTAAATATAAAGTTTAACTGTTGGTTGTGCCTGCTGTGATGTCAGGAGGTGGGAGCGGGGGGCCTCTGAAAAAATAAGCCTCGGGGATGCGACTGCTGGTGGGGGAGGTCCACACCCACACCCTTTTTGGTGACTGAGGTCTGAGAGAAGGGGGTGGGTGCTGAGTAAGGTTGCCATGGTAATGCGGCTATTTGGGGAGTTAAGATTAGGACCCGTGTCTGCAGAAGACTGAGCCAGGTGTAGAAAAGGTCCCAATGGGCCAACGGGCAGACACCGGGCGGGCCAGAGGGCCTGGCTAGTGGTCCAGGTAGCTGGCTACAGGACAGGCATGCAAGGTGAAGGGCTTGGCTTTTGCCAAGGTCTGGACTCAGGCTGGAAGGTTAATCCTGGGCTGAGGATTCCCTCTTGGCACATTGTGAGGGGGAGCCCCAACATCATTGTGACCCGCTTACCCCCGGAAACTGGGACAGGCAGTCTGTGTACTGTGGCACAGTGGGCTGGGGGCCTAGAGGCCCTGGTGGCCCTAGGGACCCCCATGGCCATGGCTGAGCAGCCATGGCCCAGGTGTGACTCATATCATAGCCCCAAAACCAACAGCTGCCAGGACCTGGGCAACTCCATCCTATTGCTGCTGGGCCTCATCATCTGCATTAACATTGGCATCAATCTGGTGACACTGGTCAGGGCAGGGCTGGGTGGGAGGGTGCTGGCAGGATGGCTAGGGGCAGGCCTGGTGGCCAGGGCTTGCCTGTGGTCACTGTGTCCTTCCCTCAGCTCTGGCGCAGACTTCGTGTCTTCTTACACCACATGTTCTGCCATATGGTTTGTGACAAAGGTAAGGGGCCTGGGGTTAGGGCAGAGGCAGGGCAGATATCCAGGTTTCTAGCCTTTGACCCTAAGCTGGCCCCTCCCCCTCCCACTCTACCCTCTCCAATTTCCATAGCTGTGTATCTTCTGACCTCCAACCCTGCCTCGCCGCCACTGTAGGAGTCAGTATCCCCCTCAGCCCTTACCTCTCCTCTGTCCACAGAAGCCTCTAAATTATCCTCGCATGGAAAGAAGACCTGGCCCCCGAAGCAGAGCTCCCCTGCAGTTCACCTTAAGTGCACCATGGACCCTTTGGAAATGACCCTGACACCCCCACCCACTCGCCACCTTTGCCATCGAGACTCACCAGCACGCTTTGCCCGCCACCCAACAGCCTGGGCACCTGACACTGATGAGGAGAAGCCCCCTCATCAGCATCCGGCAATCTGCTCCCACAACTGGGATCACCCCTCGGATTGGGAAGGCTTCCAATCCACCCAGGGACCCTGGGCTCCCTGGGCTCGGGACTCCGTGGAGCTGCCTCCCCAGACCATTCGTTTCCAGCAGACCATAGAGGGAAGGCCCCTCAAAAGAGAGATTCAGTCAGAACTGGACCTAGAGGCCTATGTGTACCCTGTGAATCCCCCACCCCCCAGCCCTCAGGTCCTGAGCCATAAGAACAGTGGAGGGGGGACAAAGGTCCAGGGGGAACAAGAGCAGTGCTCGCCTGACCCCCCAGCTCCACCAGCCATTAAGGGTCCAGCATTTGTCCCGGATGTCCCCCAGCGCCCCTCCTCAGCCCGCATAGTGTATGATGCCCGTGATGTGAGGCGGCGGCTTCGGGAGCTGAGCCGGGAGGTGGAGGCTCTGTCCCACTGTTACCCCATGGCCTCCAGATCCAGTGCTCCTGAGGGGGTGGGCGAGGACTGGCCATACCATCCCCTGACAGAGAGGCGACTGGGAGAATAATAAAGAAAAAGGGAAAAAAAGGAGGTGGTTTGTGGTGGAGTGGGGGGTGGGGCAGTGCTAGGGCCCACACAGCTCCCAGAAGCCCTGGTTGCTAAAGGAAACCTGGTAACAGCCTAGAGAGTCCTGAGGACCCTGATCAACCATCAACCTCTTGGCCTCATACTCTCCATCAACCCTGTCCTCAGACCTTCCCCAGGCTCTTCTTGACTCCAAAGTTCCCATCTGCTTCTATCCCGTTTTCTTTTTCTTTTTTTTTTTTTAAGATTTTATTTATCTTTAGAGGGGAAGGGAAGGAGAGAGGGAGAGAAATATCAGTGTATGGTTGCCTCTCGTGTGTCCCCTGCTGGGAACTGGCCTGCAACCCAGGCATGTGCCCTGACTGGGAATTGAACCTCGATCCTTTGGTTTGCAGGCCCTTTTTTTAAAGATATTTATTTATTTTTAGAGAGAGGGTAAAGGAAAGAGAAAGAGAGAGGGAAACATCAATGTGTGGCGCCTCTTGCACACCGCCTACTGGGGACCTGGCTCACAACCCATTCATGTGCCATGCATGACTGGGAATCAAACTGACAATCCTTTGGTTCTCAGGCCTGTACTCAATCCACTGAGCTATACAAGCCAGGGCTATTCAGTTTTCTTTAGTCCCCAGATAAGGCTCCCCACCAATCCCACCCCAGACATCCAGAGAGTCCTACAGTAAAAGGGAGACCTTCATTCCCGTGGCCCTCGGCCTTCAGAGGTCTGGTTCCTGCCAGAGCCCAGGTTTAGGCTGCAGCCACAGGAGAGCTGTAGCTGCTTCTCAAGTCCTGGTTTCTTCAGTGGAGGGACCACTGAGAGTGAAGAAGGTGGCCAAGCCCTCACAGTTCTCCGGTCAGAACCTCAGGCTCCTGTAAGTGCTTATACCCTCAAGCAGGTTTGGAGGACAAAATATTGGGGACAGTCTCAAGGGCTGCCTCATAATAACATTACAGCCTTCTGTGACCTCACTCTTCTGATTCATTCCTCCATGTCACAAGTGAGGAGACTGAAGCCAAGTGACTTACTCATGATCACACAGACATCAAGGATCAACTTCACGACCTCAGATGCTTCATCCCCCTGCTTCTGCAGGTAGATTCTCATTGCCACAGAGTCAGCTGGGTCCATCAGAGTCTCTCCTACCTTCCTTAGTTTGTCATGTGAACTCATCAGAATATTCCATCCACTGGAGAGCAGGGACACCCGGGCAGCTGGGATCACACACATGTACTCACATTTTCACACACAGTTTGAGAATAAGGAGTCACATGTGTGCACCCAAGCTGAAGGAACTGGACCTCATCTTGATGAGGTTATATCCAGATGGGTTCCTGGAATGTAAGCAGACAAACCTTTTTTTGAATCGCCCTGCTTTTCTATTCGTTTTCACTCAGCTAATGTCATTCATCGTTCGAAGCTGATTCCATTCAGTAGGTATGTATTGAGCACCTACTACATTTTTGGAGCCTTGATGGAAAATGCCCACTGGCTGTTTTCTGTTTCTGCTGAGTTATTGTACAAACATGACTTGTGGTCCCCAGGGCACTCTTTTCATAGACCCCAATAATGAACTTGGTTTAAATCAAAGACTCCTTTGTCATATCAACAATTACATCTATTTTGTGCTTTGTGATTTCATGTGGTTTTCTTCAGGTGGCAGCTAACAGTCTTTCAACTTGAAGGGGTTGCTCAGTGGAAGGGCAGTTGGCTAAGAAAAATCATGGTTGGGGGTGGTGCCAACCAGAGGCAGCAACCCCAACAAGGTAGAGTCAGTCTTGCCCTGAAGCAAAGGGGCTAATGGGCTCAGTGACCACTAACACCTAGGGCTGAAACCCCTAGCCAGGAAGGGGTGGAAATGGTGGTACTAGAAGTGTTACGACAGGGAAGTGGGCAGGACAGGTTGGGAATGCACAGTGAGGTGACTTCAGAGGGGACTCTTGCTGTCACCATCTAGTCCCAAGTAGGCATGGGTAGGCTACATAAACTGCTATAATCTCTCAAAAGAACAATGAAATAGAGGAAATGGTTTATGCATGACTCAACCCCTGTGAAGACTGTCTCACTACTGTAGCTACCATATTTTCAAATCAGGAGTCAGGTGTTGAGGTAAGCAAGCCCCCTAGGCGGCAGAGGGACAGGCTGAACTCCAGGATACCTGGGAACTGAGCCAGGGGCAAAAATGGCCAGATACAGAGCCAGCTGAGTGGATAAAAGAGCTGCTACCTCTGCATTGTGACTCCTGCCAATGCGCCTCATTATGACCTGGCTCCCTCAGCTGGCAGGGGTCTCCAGGTCCCGGCATGAGTGCAGTGTGGGTCGGGGCTGGTGGGGGGGGGGTGTGGCCCAGGTGGCCCTAGGACCCCCCCACCATGAAAACCCAGCTCTGGTATAACACCCTGGGGTACTGCAATCAATGCCAAGAAAGTCCCCAGGATGCTGAAGACTTCCTACTCCTACTGCTGGGCCTCATCATTCTTGTCAACATTGGGATCAACATGGCAACTGCGGTCAGTGGTGGCTGTGAGCCATCCCTATGGGTGAAGAGGGCTGAGGGTGGGAGCCAGCTTTGGCCTGTATCTCCAGCTGCAAGAATAATTTTGGCTGGGAGATGTATGAGGGTTGGGGGTGGAAAGCCTGGTCTTCACTCTCACCCCACCCCACCTCCAGATGTGGTATGGACTCCAGAATGCCTTAGACAAGATGATCATTTGGATTAATCAGAAAAGTAAGTATGGCAGTGGGAGGGGTAGGGAACAAATCTGCCCCCCTTCTACCACCACAGCCCTAGGAAGTCAGACCCTAGTGTGCCCAACTGACAATTACCCTGCCCTTATGGACTCTTGCCTCTCTCCCCCAGGTGAAATCTTTCAGGCTTGTGGAAGTTCCCCCAAAGACACCCCAGCCAAGGTCCAAGATGTCCACATTCACTGCACCCTGGACCCTGTAGAAGTGAAGATGACCCTGCCCACTTGCTACTCTTCCTCCTACCACAATTTCTGCAACCTCAGCGGCCAGCGCCCACACCATAATCACCACCGCCGCTCCCCCAGCAGCCACCGGCAGAATCCAAAGAACCACAGACAATTCCCCAACAATCGCTCAGTCTTCCATAGCCCACATCACAGCCACAAGATATCACAGCTGCGACCAATGCCCTCTTTTGATCAGAAGGACCTGGACTCCTTCCTGGAGGAGGAGGAGGATGACCTATCCTTTCCACATCCCAAGTGCCCCCAGCGGGGCTGGGGAGGGCTCTACCAGCAAAAGGCAATGCCCTCCAACCTGGGGCTGTGGGGCCGCCAGGGTGGGATCCTGGCCAGCTTGCCACCACCCTCCCTCTACCTGTCATCCGAGCTGCGCCGCATGCCCAAGCGCGTGGAGGCCAAGTCAGAGTTGAGGCTGCGGTCCTACAGGCCGCACTACTCACAGTCCTGCATCTGGGGCAATATGGAGGCTGAGCAGTGGACCTGGTCACCACCACCTCCCCACCGGCTGCCCCCTAACCCCACCTGGGTCCCTGTGGGGCACAGCCCTTACCCCTCCAAAGGCCGGCTACTGTATGACTCCTGGGATCAGCGGCGGCGTGGTCTGGAGAGCTCTGAGCCTCCATCTGCCCTGGTGCCCCGGAGCTCCCGACCTGAGGCTCGGGAGCACTGTGCCCCACAGTCCCACCGGCAGAGCCTCCCTGGCCATTCTTATAGCCAGCCCACCCGCAGTCCCCACCCATCCACAGGACACCTGACCTGCACCTCCCGGGATCCCCATGAGGTACGCCGCCGGGCGACTGAATGGGGTGAGGTGCTGCCCACTCAGCACCCTCTGACTACATCCACCTCCCTCACTGTGTTGGGCGAGGTCTCGTACCAACGGGCCCTGGCTCCCAGCTCAGCCCTGCTCCCCCATTCCTCCCAGCCCCTACCTGAAGTCCAGGGTACTGAGCCCACCCCACCTCCGCACATCTTCAGGCCACTCAGCAGGAGCCCGGGGGACAATGCGAACTACCATGTGTATGACAGCCTGGAGCTGAAGCGGCAGGTGCAGGAGAACAGAGCACGAGCCAACTCAGTGCCACCACCTTCCAGCTCAGCCTCAAGGCCCTCTTTGCACAGGAGCCGGATGGGAAAACTTCACTAACTAGTGGCAAATGTTGCAGGGACGGGCAGATCACTAAAAGAGGAATAAAGAACAACAGAGTCCAGGAAATACTGTGGTGGTCTGTGGCTGGGAAGCACCAAGCCTTCTGCCAGCCTGCACCCCTGTCCTTGGCTTTGTGAAATGAGAAACCAGTGTGCCCTTAGCATGAGGTTCTCCTTGGTTTAGTGGCCATGGTCCTGCCTGCAGGCTCCTCCTGATCTTGCACAAAGCACTAAGTAGATCTTGCAGCTGCAGACTCCAAACCATTGGTCTCTGCTGGTCTCTGAGCCCATGCTCTGTATAAGGCTCTCCCTGTTCCCAAAGGAGGCTCAGAGGATCAACCCCACATAATAAGCTGAGGTTAAATTCCAGACCTGGGGATCTCACATCTGGGTAGATCCAGGCCTGCAGCCTAGCAAAGGACAGGAAGAAGGCCAAGACTTTGGATTCCAGCTAGGCTTTCCCCAGGGGAATGGGATGTGTGTTTGAATTAATGAGTCAGAAGGCAGTGAGGAAAAAACTAAGGGTGAGATGGGAGGTGTGTTGGCTTCTGGGTCCAGTTTGACTGTCCCGGGTCAGGTTACTTGAACCCGGTTACCAGAGAATGCCACCCTGGACCTTCCTTTTCCTCCCCCTTTCTCATTGTGACCCCTGACCTCTGTCCCATTATGACCCAGTTCTCCCCCTCCCCCACCAGAAGTTTGGCTTCTAGTGAGTATGTGGGGGCCAGGGGGCCCAGGTAGTCCTGGGACCCCTAGACATGGGTGAACGAGCCCACCATGGAGCCCCAAGGTGCTCCAGCACCAATCCCAGGAAGTGCCAGGACCTAGGAGACTCAATTCTTCTGATCCTGGGCAGCTTCATCTTGCTCAACGTGGGGATCAATGTGGTGACTCTGGTCAGGACAGGGTCTGGACAGCAGGGTTGGGAGAGCCCTAGGGTCTGAAGTGGGAGGGGGTGAGGGGAGAGAGGGTTGTTGGGATGTGGCCAGGCTAGGGTTGGACTTCAGGGCTCACCCTACTTCTGGACCCTCCCCTTCCCTGCTTCCTCAGCTCTGGAGGCATCTGAAGAGTTCCTTGAGGATTCTTTTCCATCATTTTTTCCCCAAAGGTGAGTGGTCCTCAGTGTGGGCTCAAGGGAAGTGGCCCTATTTCCTTTCTCCTATCTCTGGCCCCATTTTCAGTCCTTCAGGGACCCAGGCCTTGTCTTACCCTACCTTTCCCAGCAGACAAGCAACCCAGCTGTATAGGCAGCCATCCCACGTGCATGCGCTGCTCCATGGATCCCAAGAACCTATGCTCAGAAGTCTCTTCCCACTGCCATCATCACCCAAGCTTCCTGCTCAGACACCCTAACCACCTTGACTCCTGGATACCAGATATGAATGATGAGAAGGCTTCTAGGTGCTGCTGGACATCGCCTCAGTATGGACACACCAGGGCTCCCATGGAGACTCCCTGGGGACTGGGGAAGGAGGGAATGATAGGAGCTGGGGAGGCTCCTCAGGTCACAGCCTCAAAGGCCCAAGCCACCTTTATCTCAAGGCAAGAGACATCTCCCCAGCTCCCCAAGATGAATAAGCTGGATATGGTTCCAGTCCACTTGGCCCAAGAGAATACCAACAAGACCCCAGACTATGACCCAGCTCAAGCCCCAGCCCAGGCCCGGACCCACTCCCCAGCCCACCCCCCTGAGCACACCCCCACCCAGGCCCGGACCCACTCCCCAGCCTGCCCCCCTGAGCACACCCCTTCCCAGGCCCGGACCCACTCCCCAGCCTGCCCTCCTGAGCACACCTGCACCCAGGCCCAGGTCCACTCCATAGCCCGCCCCCCTGAGCACACCCCCACCCAGGCCCAGACCCACTCCCCAGCCCGCCCCCCTGAGCACACCCCCACCCAGGCCCGGACCCACTCCCCAGCCCGCCCCCCTGAGCACACCCCCACCCAGGCCCGGACCCACTCCCCAGCCCGCCCTCCTGAGCACACCTCCACCCAGGCCCAGGTCCACTCCATAGCCCACCCCCCTGAACACACCCCCACCCAGGTCCACATCCCTGAGCACATCTCTGCCCACACCCTAGCCCAGGCCCCAGGCCAGGCCCCAGCCCAGGCCCCCATGCATGCTTTAGTCTGCTCCCTGAGCCACACTCTTGAGCACATAAAAGCTCATACCCCAGCCAGTGACGTGGTCCATACTCATCTAACCTATACCTGTGCCCACCCCTTGGTCCCTCCCCGAACCTCTGCCCCAGATCCTCCTCTAAGTTCTGCCCCTGCTACTACTCCTGCCCCAGCCCCTACACCAGCCCCTGTCCCAATATCTGACTCAATCCCTGCCCCAGTATTGGTTACGGCCCCAACTACCACTCCAGTTCCTTCTATGCCTACCGCAACCCCTACCCACAGCCTAACTCCTATTCCCTCTACCCTAAATGCCTTCAGCCAAGGCCTGTCCACTGACCGTGTGGTCTGTGATACCCTCAGGGTAAAGCAGAACTTATCCCATGTGTGCTGCACCCAAAATGCTGGGTGTTCCAAAAAGAACTTGGGTACCCTCTCCAGGTCCCAAGATGGTCAGGGCCTGGTAAGCTCTGGTCCAGCAGAGCAAACATCAAAGCAACTCAGTGGGGACACTGCCAAGTCCTCCACAGGATCCACACTGGGTTACTTGGAGTTGGGGAATATGGAATGGAAGATCTCAAATGATGCCAAAGACAAGTTCTTACAGCCCAAGACTGTCCCCTACTGCAGCTTCCATCCTTGCAGTTGTGAGAGGAGAAACACAGACTCCCAGCCTCCAGTCTACCCCAAACTCCTTGTCTACTCCAAAGATGCTTCACCTTCTCAACTTTGCCTTCATTCTACAACCAGTACCCAGAACTCACCGTGCATTGCCCCTGTGCCATGTACTCTCTCTCTGCCTCTTGTTTCTCCCAGATCCTTTGTTCATCAACCTACCAATCACCAGGTGAAGCTCTCCAATTCAATACAAACCTCCACCTTTCCCCCAATCTCTAAGTCTCCTCAGTCCATACCCTGTCCCCAGTTTCCCACCCCTCCCCAGTTCTCCACCATTTCCCAACCCACAGTCCAATCTCAATCTCCTGAACTTCATGACAGTCCTGGCCTCACCCAAGATTCTGGCCTCCAGAGGACCTCCGGCTTTCTAAAAGACTCTGGAGTTGCCAAGAACCCAGGCCTTAATCAAGATCCAGGCCTACACAGGTTCCCAGGCCTTTCCCAGCACCCGCACCTCTGCAAGAAACTGGGTCATTCCCAAGACTCTGGCCTTCACAAGAATCCAATTACTCAAGATCCTGGCCCCCAAAAGAGCCCAGGTCCTCCTCAAGATGTAGGTATCTCTACGAGCCCATGTCTCACCCAACCCTCTGGCCTCCATAGGAACACACCACTTCCCAAAGCTTCTGACATTCAGAGGAGTTCAGGCTTTGTGCAAGATTCTGGAGTTTACAAGAATCCAAAACAAAACCAAGAGACTGCACGCTATAAAAGTCAAGATCTCTCCCAAACAACTGGCCTCCATAAGGGCCCAGGACCTTGTCAAGATTCTGAAGGTTGCAAGAGTACAGGTAATACTCAAGATCCAGGAGTCTCTAGGAGTCTAGGCTTCACCCAAGATTCTGGCCCAAATAAGAGCCCATGCCTTGCTGAAGACTCTGAAGTCAACAAAAGCTCAGGACTTTCCCAGGAATCTGGTCTCCACAAAAGCCTACCCCTTGTCCAAACCTCTGGGCTCCCTAAAGACTCAGTCCTCAACCAAAATTCAGAAAACTATAGGACTCTAGACCTGACTCAATATTCTGACCTCTGGGTGAATTCAGGCCTTACCCAGGTCAATGAAGTAAAAAAGAGATGTGGCCTTACACAAGATGTTGGAATTTACAGGAGCCCAAAACATACCCAAGACCCTAATTTCCACAAATATCCAGGAATTAATCAAGATCCTGGCCAACATAAGGGCCCAGCTATTACCCAAGACTCTGGCCTCCCTACGACTCAAGGCCTTACCAAGGAATCAAGCCTCCACAAGGATTCATGCCTTACTCCAAATCCTGACCTCCACAAGAACCCAGGCCTTGCTTTATGTACTAACTCTATCCAAGTTGTGGGCCCATCTCAGACCCCAAAGTCCACACTGTCCCCGATGAAGTCATCTGTATCTGACAAGGCTCCTTGGAAGAATGCAGAGCAGCATCTTCCATGTTCTGACCCACTCAGTCAGAACTCCTGCCCTTCCAAGGCTCGGGTTACCTACAATGACCTGCAAACCTTCACAGAGGTACCTGTACTAATTGAGCTGCAGCCATCCTCCCAGCAAGCAGGCAGCCAGGACTGGGTTTACTGCCCTGTGGATACAGTTCCTCCAGCCTGCCAGAACTATCGTCAGATGTCTATACCTTCCAAAGTCAACTGGAAGACCCACTGTCCTAGGCCATATACTCAGGTAGGGCATGTGGTCTTTGATGCCCGCCAGAGACAGTTTGGAGTGGGCAGAGACAGGTGTGAAGCTCTATCTTCCAGGCGCCTTCAACAAGAGGCATCTAGCAACTCAGTAGAGACCACCAAGTGGGGATATCAGTGTGTAATGAGGCCCTCAGAAAAAGTGGGGACAAAGGTGCACCAGAAATAAAGAGATGACAAAAGTGTTCTGTAATTGTTTGAAGATATTCACCCCAGCCCCACTCTTGACACTGGCTACTCTCAGGGTCTGATGAGGACAAACTGTTCTTGCCCCCGCTTCTCCTCCATAGCTATAGAGCTAAACCCATTATCCCCAAGGCCCTAGGGCTGCATTTTCCAACAGAGTAGACACTAACTACCCATGGTTATTAGGTGTAAATTAATTAAAATTAAATAAAATAATTCTGTTCCTCTGTCTCAGCTACTTTTTAAGTGCTCAATGCTATGGGTGGCTAGTGGCTACTATATTGAACAGCACAGATTTAGAACATTTTTCATCTTTAAAGAAAATCCTACTGGACAGCAATGCTTTAGAGTTTAGAAGAACTTTCTTTTCCCTTGTCACCTATCCCCAGCATCTTCAAAACTCCCACAAAGCCCAGAGAACTCAGTTCTTTTTAGGGTGGCTCAGACGCCTCCCTCTGCAGAGGAGGTAAGATGTCGGGAGGCCAGATGCCTGATTACCCCAGCCCGTGAGAAGGAGCCCAGCCTTCAGTTTTCCTGATCTGGTTTCTTGGGTCACAACCAGATATATAGAAACCTGCCTTTCCAGTACTGAGTTCTGTTTGGGGGCTCGGAGTTGCTGAGGAAGAAGAGCTCTCTTTGTCAGCATCCAGGAACTCCTGAGATCTGGGTTCCCTTAATTGAGCTCTGGATTTTGAGAGTCCCTTCCCATGCAAGACTAATTTTTCTAGGTGTCTCTGCTTAATTCTCTTGCCCATGGACTTAGCTCACTCCAGAGAGAGTCCCCAGGGAAGCGGGAATGTAAGTCCTGGTTCAGCAATGGATTGGTCTGATTTGTAAGCCTGTCCCTAGTTTCATATCTTTTGTCCCATTATTCTGGCTCCTTGTGTCATCCAGCACTTAAACTGTGTCCCTGATAGCATTAGCTACTGAAAATAATTTCTTCCCCATAATTTCCCTTTGCCTTGCCCTGGCCTAGCTGGGAGTTTCCTCTGGATTTGATTTTCAGTCCTGGTAACTCTTCTGTGTATACACATGTGGAATTCCAAAGTGTTTTCCCCACCACCATTCATGTGTGTCGAGGTGGGTATCACTAATATGTCCCTTCCCTGAATCAGATGTCCATTGCTGGCTCACCACCTGTGTGTTCTTGTCTAACACTACTACCATGGATTCCAAGGGGAAATCGCCCACCTGGGGAGCCCCTTTCTAACACTCCTGCAGCTCAGCTCTGACGTTGGACGAGTTGTACAAGACTTCCTAGGCTGCAGTCTTATGTTCAAAGTGAAGTTATAATTGTACGGAAAAACCCTTCTAGATCTAAATGGCCAGGGCTCCTCACATGGGATGTAGAAGCCCCCTTTCATCCCCAGGCCCTAGGGTGTGTCCTCCATTATTGTTTGCTATTCAGATCCATCCTATTACTGATACAGAGAGATCTGATCAGATCACTGGGGAGAAGCAGGGGGAGTTTGCTCGGGCAATGGTAAGCAGTCTAGCATGGGATTGGCTGAGGAGCTGAGTTCCTCCAGAGTGCATGGAAATAAAATGAGGCCTGGCTCTCTGGTTCTGGGGCTCTCTCCAGCTCTCTCTTCTTCCTGAGAATGCTTGGACGATTGTGCTGCAGTTGCCTGCATTTCCCAATGGACAGTATTTTAGATGGGAAGGAACTCCCTGTGCAGCCTAGGATTGCGCTGACCTGGCAGAGGGTGGCAGGTTTATTCTTCTTTGGGTGTTCTATGGGGATGAGCTGTGAAACAGAAGCCTGCTATTCTTCCAAAATGTGTAGCTTCTGTATCTTATGTTGTTTTAGTCTGTGAACTAACCCTATAGAATAAAACTAAAAACTAATGGGAACTGCTAGAACTCAGGTGTCAGAGTTTAGCCTTAATTGACAGACCTGAGCGACTAATTCATGTGGAAAGCTGTTATTACAAAATTGTGAAGCTTTTGAATAAAGACTCCTTTCCTTTATCACCAAAACTTTGCCACCTAGAGGGTGGCAGCAGACAGCAGGACCCAATTACTGTCGGATAACATTACCCCTCTGCTCCAACTTCAGGAATGTTTGTGTGGGGCTGACCTGGGCTTGGCAAGAAACAGAACAGTTTATCTCCATAGAAACCACAACTTCAAGCAGGTACTTCAGAGGGACAGGAAAGGATGTGGGGGCATAGCCTCAACGCCCTGGTATTGCTGAAGACAAACTGCAACTCCTACGATACCGCGAGATCAGAGCAGAGCGAAAAGACTTGTTGACAGAGGTGGGGCCGGCGAGGAACCACCTTGCTAGCCTCTGGAAAGGGGCGTGGCCTTGCAGGCTGCAGGAAGTTACCTGTTGGACGGTTCTATCCATTCTCTTTCCCGCTCTTGCAGTTACTCCTAAAAGGGAAGCCGCAGACCGCAAGCCTTTTCCGAAAAAGTGGTAAGGGTATGTAGACAAGGGACGGGCGGAGGAGACTGGCTATTGCATTTCGTAGGAGGGGCCCAACAGCTACTTTTCACCCGCTCAATCAGGTGAACCGGTCCATAGGGGCGGAGACCAGAATATGAGAAAGGGCAAGGGCGAGGTATTTATTTGTTCGTTTTCAGGACTAAACTTACAGCCCTTTATCTGCAGACCCATTGGCGTACTTGTCAAGGGCATACTCCCGGCCTCGGGATGAAAGAAGGGAGGCGACCTTTCAGCAGCAAACGAAAGGCCGGTTTAGGTTTCTGCTTATCCTTGTTTTCCCTAGCTCAAAACCATAGAGCCTTATGGCTTCCGCAGTCTGGGGGAGTGCCCCCTGGTGGGGCCCGCCGCCCCCAGCCCCAGCCCGCCCGCTCACGGACATCGACTTCTGCTCTGGAGCGCAGCTGCAGGAACTAACCCAGCTTATCCAGGAGCTGGGTGTGCAAGAGAGCTGGAGTGACGGGCCCAAGACGGGACGAGACCTTCTCCAAGCCAAAGACTTTGTTTTCTCTTTACTCAGTAAGTAACCCTCCCAGCCTTCAGAAATTTCCAACTCTCAGCCCCGCCCCGGCGTCGTGTCACGCTCTCACAATGCCTTCTCTTCCCTCAGGTCTCGTTCACCGCCGCGATCCCCGCCTTCCTTCCCAAGCAGAGCTCTTGCTGCTTCGTGGCGGGATTCGCGAGGGCTCCGTGGATCTGGGGCCTTCACCCCTAGGGCCCTACGCTCGGGGACCTCACTACGACGCTGGCTTCACACTTCTGGTGCCCGTGTTTTCTCTAGATGGCACTGGGCAGGAGCTGCAACTGGACATGGAATCCTGTTACGCCTGGCTCTGCCTCCCACCAGTGATGCACTCAGTCCGAAAGGCGTGGCAGGGTTGCCTAGGACCCCCAGTCCCAGGCAAACGTGATTTGACCCACCAAACCGAAAGCGAAGAAACCCCCAAGGACCAGCCTCACGGTTACGTCACTGAGCTTGAGCTCTGTGTGTCTTCAGAAAAATCACCTAGTAACGACTCGGGGCCCGAGTCGCCTCAGCAAGACGTAATCGATCTTGGGTTTCCTGCACCACTGAATGGTGACGTCACCAACGCAGCCTCTGGTAGTTCTGCCCCCCAACCGTCGGAGGCTCCGGAGGCGTGGCCTACATTGTGCCCTGCCAAGGTGGCTGTGTGGTTCTTTGCTATTCTGGCTGAGGTCGCCCAGTCCCTGATCCCGGTCCCGGGTGCCCCGCGCTTGGTTCACGCAGCCCGCCACGCGGGGTTCACAACCATCCTCCTGGCTACGCCGGGGCCCCCACGCCGCCTCCTGCTTTTCGACCTGATCCCTGTGGTGTCTGTGGCTGGCTGGCCCGAGGGGGCTCGGAGCCATTCGTGGGCCGGGCCGCTGGCCTCCGAGTCGTCCTCTTTCTATCTGGTGCCGGGCGGCGACATAGAGCGGCCGGGCGCTTCCGGCTGGCAGCTGTGCTTCGCCCGCCAGGAGCTGGCGCTCAAGGCGCTCATACCTGCCCCGCTGCTGCAAGCGCACGCGGCTGCCCAGGCGCTGCTGCGCCCGCTGGTGGCCGGGACCCGGGCCGCGGCGCCCTACCTTCTGCGGACGCTGCTCTACTGGGCTTGCGAAAGACTGCCCGCGCTCTATCTGGCGCGGCCGGAGAACGCAGGTGCCTGCTTCCTAGGGCTGCTGGATGAGTTGGGCCGTGTGCTTGAGGCCGGGATGCTACCCCACTATTTTTTGAGCGGTCCAAAGCTCCGGGCAGGGGACAGTGCCGCTGCGCTGCTCGCGGCATTGGCCCGGCTTCGTGGGGACCCTGCCCGGGCCCTGTCCGCCACAGTGGAGGAGGCCAAGGTTGCGCGCAGGGGGGTTGGTTTAGCTGGTGTGGGAGGCGGGGCCCATTAAAGACTGTACCTACCGACATGGAAAGTGCTTCTGTTAACTAGCGGGATGTGGAGGGCACTACTGGCCCCTCGCTTGACTTGGGAGACAGACTGAGCACCCTGGAGCCCAAACATCCCATTCTAGAAGACGTCCTCGTGGGTTCCTCCCCATCATTCCACTCATCTCCCGCTCCATCCCTGGTACAGGTCGTCCTGTCCTGCCGTCTCTGTGGCCAGCATCGCTCGTGCCCTGTTACAGCCTCTGGCAACCATCTTCACCCAATTCTCGTGGCCTCTTCCCTCAGGAGCAAAGATGGGGGGAAACATTTGCTGACAAAACGTGGGAAGGAAGCATGCAAACCAGAGTATACACATTTAGTTCACACAAAATCAGACTTATTAAGGAGTTCGAATTTCTCCCCAGGCTAGATTTAAACCCCCACGTCAATCCCTTCGGTTATTACCCCTAGTTTCTTCATTCAGTTCTGTCCCCCCATCCAGGGCAGTAGTGTCTCTTTCCCCACTTGCGGGGTGTCTGCTGTTCCACTTATCTGAAGCCCAACCTCTCCACCCAGTCAGCGGAGACACCTCCTTATCCCTCCTCCAAACTGCGAGACATGCGGCCTTGCCTAGGCTCCGCCTGCCGCTAAGACAGTCCCCACTCCCTGCCTCCAAGGAACCCCGGGGTTCCGCCCGCCCAGCTTCATCCCGGTTTCCCGGCGTCTCCGCCCCCTGCCCCGCCCCCGGGCCGGCTTGGAGAAGGGGGAGCTGCGGTTGCCGCCGCCGCCTCAGCTACCCACTGGCGCTGCTGCTGCTTCTTTCGTCGCCGCCGCCTCTATCGCCGCTGCACTTGGTCCAGCCACTAGGCCCAGTGCTCTGACTTTACCGGACCAGGGCGTTCTGCGGAGACACCCTTACTCTTTGGGGGGCCCAGGCGCCTAGCCAGGCGAGGAGGGGAAGCTCCGTTTGCGGGAGACAGGGAAGGAGGAGCCTGGAACCGGGGCCAGCACCCGTCGCGGGATCAACAGAGGACAGGTCGAGGGGCGTCGGGGAAGGGGGTTGCTATAGGTAGTCCCCGGGAGGAGGAGGACGCTCTGTCGCAGAAAGCTCCGATGCACTGACTTCTAGAGGGCCTGCCCACATTTTGGAACTGGCGACAGCATGGGTGCACTCCTCCTGGGGGGCTGGCTGGATCGGAGGGCTAGGATCTAAATAGCACCAGCTGTCTCCAAGGAAATTAAGGGGCAGCCAGAAGGAAGAAAAAAACAACAAAAAACCGGATGCTCCTTATTTCGAGGTGATGGAGAGCCCTTCAGACAACCACCTGGTGTAGCCACCAGGAACGGTGGATTTGGAGGTGACTTCAAAGAGTGGAGGGTAACAAGGTGAGGAAAGGGGCTCAGCAACTGGAACCCTGTGCCACTCGAAATGGGGGTGACTTGGTGAAAAAAAAAAAAAGGCATTGTCCAGAGACAGAGTCTGGGGACCCGTTCTCACTGAACAGGGACGGTCTGGATATTCAGAGACATAGTTTGGGGGGTTTCAGTGAGAAAAGTAGGGTATGGTCTTCACTTAGAGGATGGCAAAGACATCAAGGTGGGGTTCTTCCCTGATATTGGCAGTGCCCCAGTAGGGGTGGGGTGAGCTAATATCCTCAAAGCTAAGGACCCACAATCTTCATTTTACAAGAGTGGATTTGGCAGGAGTACAGAGGCCACCAAAATAGGGTGAAAATTGGAACCACATACTGGACATTTTAAGGGTTTTGACTTTGGGATAGGAGAAATGGGACTGGGCTACTGAAGAGCAGGGGAGCGGTAGTTTTCAGTAGGGGTCAAAAGTTGAGGGTGGGATTAACTGAGAGGTATATAGGTTGCTGGGTTCAGTGGAGCTAGCCCGGGGGCTCAAGGGTGGGAGCTGACGGTTGGAGGGGGTTGCCGAGGCTTATCCTAAGGTCCTGTGGGTGGGGCGGAGAGTCGGGGAAGAGAGTCGAGAGCATGCCGTGGCGGTGAGCCGGCTTCTCTGGGGAGTCCTCCACACTCCCAGCGCCTGCTGGTTTGGGGGTGTCTCCTCCCGGGGCGCCATGGCGGCGCTGGCCAGTAGCCTGATCCGGCAGAAGCGGGAGGTCCGAGAGCCAGGGGGCAGCCGGCCGGTGTCGGCGCAGCGGCGCGTGTGTCCCCGCGGCACCAAGTCCCTTTGCCAGAAACAGCTCCTCATCCTGCTGTCCAAGGTGCGACTGTGCGGGGGGCGGCCCGGACGGCCAGACCACGGCCCGGGTGAGTGGCTGAGGCGGGGTCTCCGGAACTGGGGTCTCTCTGCCTGGGAGGTTGAGATGAGGGGCTCTGAAGAATGGAGCCGGACTGAGGGAGGCCCCCGGAGAGTGAAAAGGGGTGGGCCAAAACAACAAAGTCTCTGCCAGTCTATGCCTCAGTTTCCCTTTTCTTTTGCCCATAACCCCGAGTCTCCCTGCTTTCGAGAACAAGGGGAAGGTTTGAGGGGTTAAGTCTGGCTCCCCAAGCCTCGCAGCCCCCGCTGGCTCCCATCCCTACCCCGGAATCCCCATCCCCATCGCCCTTCGCCTACGTGCTGTCTCTCGCGCTTCTTTCCATCCAGAGCCCAGGGGGGCTGGGGGTTCTGGACGCCTGGGTCACCCCGAGGGTTTCTGCGGTTCCAGCAGCCCCGCCCCCGCCCCGGCTCTCCCGCTCCTCCACGCCTTGGCTCGCTTCCTCCTGGCCGAGCTGGCCTGGCTTGGTGCCAATCTCCCCAGCTCTCCCCTGGGTGTCCTTGCAGCTATCTCGCCAGTTCGCCCCTCTTGTGTGCCCTCCTCCCGTGACCTGAGCTTCAAGAGGGAAACTGGGTACCCCCCCCCCCAACTACCTTCCACGCGACTCCGAAATCTCAGGGGACCCTCTGCAGAGGAACTCATAGTACAAGGCTAATGGGAAACCAGCAACGAGACCCAACAGCGGTCGTACCACTTACAAGGGGGTACACGAAAGTACGCTGAGAGCAAACAACCAGCAAGGAGAGTTTTGAGGGCTAGCGTGTGGTCCCCATCCAGCTACTACAGGCAGGGAGTCCCTCTGGCCCCCTCCTGCCTGCTCCCAGCAGCCCTAGCTTTAGCCCCCTGGAGCCCTCCTCATCCCCGCCCCACCACCGCAGGTCCGCCACAGTGGTACGGTCCGCAGCCCACCATTTGAGTAGTGGGTCCCGGCTCCCACGTGACAGCCTGCCTCTTCACCTCCCCCGCCCCTCCTATTTCCCTGGTTTGGTACCGAATGTACCCCACCCTAAGCAGGTTACCTGGCTGAAGGGGAAAGGCTGAGCCTCTAAAAGGCCTGGGTCCCCGGGCCAGCGGACTGACAGACACAGACAGATGGGTCAGTGTCAGACTGGCCGGCGCTGGGCCAAGGCTAGGCCCGCGCCAAGCGAGCGACAGCTGCAGCAGCAGGTGCTGAGTCAGCGTCAGGCCCAGTCCCACCCCGATTCTGGAGGGGGCGCCCCTACCCTGTGGTCACCTTGCTGCCCCCGATATTCACAAACACACTGTCCCTTTTGCAGCCCCACCTATCTCCCTCTGTCTTTGGATGTAGCTCTTCCCTTCCTCTCCCCGTGCCCCCCGGCCCCCCCCCCCGCTTTTTGGTTAAGCTGTAGAGTACAAATTAAACCATTTAAATAAATTTCAATAAATTAAACTGAGAGCTGGTGATTAGAAGAAGCAGAAGGGACCCACACCTCAGCGTCCTCAGGAATCGAGAGGTGGGAGAGAGCTTTCTTGGAGGGTGAGAAAGTTCGGGCCATAGGACCCTATTCCTTTCCTCCACTGTCTTTTTTTCCCTCTGATCCCACGAAGTGTAGAAATGTTTCTGGGAACAGAGATGTTGTTTTCAAAGATTATTGTCTCTCTCTCTAGAGCCTCAGCTCAAAGGCATCGTCACCAAACTGTTCTGCCGCCAGGGTTTCTACCTCCAGGCAAATCCCGACGGGAGCATCCAGGGCACCCCAGAGGACACCAGCTCTTTCAGTGAGAGGGGGAAGCTGGCCCCTGGGTGGGAAGGGGGACAGTGGGGCTAGGAGACTAGGACAGTCCTATTCCTGCTTTAGGTTCTGTTGTTTCTGGTCTACCCCTTTGACTCCCAAGGGAGGAAGTGAAGCTGGGGTGGAGGGAGCTCAAACAGGGGGCCTGGGGTACTGATGCCCCCTCTCTCCATCCTCAGCACACTTCAATCTGATCCCCGTGGGCCTCCGTGTGGTCACCATCCAGAGTGCCAAGCTGGGTCACTACATGGCCATGAATGCAGAGGGACTGCTCTACAGCTCGGTGAGAAGATGAGGCTGAGTGGCTTGGGGTTTGGAGATTCCCCAACTGCGAGTTTTTCAACTACAGAGTATTTTACAGTTCAGGGCTCCCGCTCACTCCAACTCTTGCTGATGTTCAGTCATTACTGCCCACTCCAGAGCACCTCCTCCAGGGTCCCTCTAATCCTACTATCACACAGCCCTCCAGATCCCCCCAGGCTTTTTGAATATCCAACTCTTTCTGTCTTTTAGGGCCCACGTTTCTCATCCTACTTCCTCCAGACTTCATTATTACTCATTTCCCCAGTCACTCAGGATAGGGGATGGTGAGAGGTGGGGAATAGAGTGGAGAGAAGGTTTTGTTTTTGTTTTAAGATTTTATTTGTTTATTTTCAGAGAGAGGGAAGGGAGAGAGAAAGGGAGAGAAACATGCATGCCCCCAACTGGGGACCTGGCCTGGAACCGAACCAGTGACCTTTCTGTTTGCAATATGATGCCCAACCCACTGAGCCACACTAGTCAGGGTGAGGTAGTGTTTTCTTATTCCAAGCCCCCCGAAGTCTAGTTCCTAACGATCAGCAGACTACCAGATTCTCCCTTGTCCTCCCTTTTTCCCATTTCCCACTTGGACTGAGAATTTGGCCTCCTAGCCTAAAATATGTGGATTATGTCCTGGCTTGTTCTTCTCAGGGCTCCCTTCTGTCCAGTGATGTGTCTATTTGTCTCTTTGTGT